AGGCTTGCAAAAGATACATTGTAGCTGAAACTTTGTTACAAGATAACAAAGCCCCTGGAAAGACAAAGTGAGAAAAGAAGCAAGAAACAGTTTTGGATTATTGGATGATTCCTAGAACTTTGGACGGAGGATCCTAATGAAATAAAATAAAATCAATTAGGGGTTGTTTAAATTTTTTTAAAATGGCATCAATCCTTGAAGAGTTAAAAATGAGACTTAAAGAACAAAAAGAAGCACAAGATGGAAGAGGATCGTTTGGCTTCATATTTCAATTTTTAGAAATGGAGATCTTGAACTATGAAAAACAACAAGAAACGCTGGCAGAACAAGAAGGGCAGGACAACGAAGAAGTCATCTTTAATGACCAAGCAATTTTAAGTGGGGTAAAAAAGGGAAAGGGGGGAAAGGGAGTTAAAAACTTAAGCGCTGAAGCAACAACCAAAAAAAAGAGTAATTTGAAAAGTAATCATAATATCAGGAAGAAGCAGAAGGGAGGATCACAGAATCAGATAGAAAAGGGAATTTAGCGGACCTCGCCCGAGCGCGAGACAAATGCTGAAGAAAAAGAAGAAGAAGAAGAAGAAGAAGATAGAAAAGGGAATAAAAAGGGGAGGGAGAAGAAGAGAGGGAAGAGGGAAAGGAAAAGAAGCTACAAAGGACAGAAACAAGATATAGCGGTACAGGAAAAGTGTACAAGAATTAAAGGTATAAACCTATTTAACAGACACAGAGGCAATAGTTAAAATTTAACTTGAGAGGATTCTGCAAGGGTGCATGGGATAGCATTGTTATATTAGAAATAGAAAAGGGTTAGAAAATATGTTAGATGATTAAAGTGATAGAAAAAAATACTATTGATGTGTAGTGGAATATTTGTTTGTAAAGATAATAAGGCTCCCAATGATTTAAAAAGAACAATTAAAAAAAACTGAAAAGAAACATGGAAGATTTTTATCAGTTGACAAGATGAACTTGAATAAGAATAATAACTTTATTGACTACTGTTAATAACTATTGTTTGGTTTTTTTATTTAAAGGCAGTAATAAGTAAAATATGAAATATAGATGATTAAAGTAAATGACAACTGATATTATTAGGTAATGTTTGTTAAAAGAAATAGAAATGTAAAAGATTGTTATTAATATTAATGGCAGAGCTGTACTTGAATAGAATAATTATTCCATTTACTATTGTTATACATATATACTCAGATATATATACATATATACTTTTTTCTTTTAAGAATTTAGTGTGTATTTTTAAGGGAATGTACCAAGCAGAATTCAATTGAAAATAGGTATGTGTTATAAAATAGAGGTTAGAAAATGAATGTTATAACTGTAAAGGTGTAACTTAAATTTTTATATAAGATTTGAAAAAAGATACAAAGGTCTTACACTCCAGTCTAGTAATTACAGGGGAAAATTTGTTTTATGAGAAAAGATAATATGAAATTGTAAACAGGACAGACAAAAGTATAAAAACATTGATTAGAAAGATTTTAAAAATTAGGAAAAGATATGTAATTGAATTAAGAAAGGAATGAGATAATTTAAAATAAGGCTATAGGAAGTAAAGGAAGGGAAAAGCTATTGAAAAAAATTGCAAAAATAGTTATAAGATATGGATTAGAATGTATAAGATAAATATGTATTGAGTTTTTGTCTGTATGGAGAAGTGATAACCCGGGGCCACGCTGTTCTCAAAAAAAGATATTTTATTTGTATTTGTATGTTTTGTGAAAACTTAAATAAAACTTTTATTAAAAAAAAAAAAAGAATCTTGGATGGTATTCAGAAAGAATAAAATAGAAGTAGAACTGTGACAAAAGAAAACAAAGATAGTAATAGCTGCCTTGAGTGCAATTCCAAACATCCTGAGCATCAGTTGAATACCGTCAGCACTGAAAAATCACCATCAGTCAACTGTAAAAGACCCCTTTACTTGGAACAGTTTACATCTTCTGATAATATTTTTAATATTATTAAATAACATCTCATTTCAGGTCCTTGAGAAGGACTCAATAGGTGGACAAAATTGCCAAACCCAATCTAAATATCTGGTTGATGGTACAACAAACCATAATAAGAATACACATCACGAAAATTTGCTGGACAGAAATTAAATTCAAATTAATCTTCATAGAAAAAAGAAATAGCTTTAGGAAATAAAAATCAAATACATGGGTACAGAATGAGTCAAATTAGCTTGGTAATAAAATTGGGAAATGACTTTGAAACAGTAGTTTATTACAAGCTGAATATGAGTCTGCCAGGGGAAATTTCTTTTAAAACAGCAATATAATTTTAGGCTGCATAAACAATAGGTTAATATGTAATTATAGAAATATAATTAGGAATGTAAATGATAATAAGAAATTATAGTTTATTTTTATTCTGTATTGGTCAAAGCCCACTCTGAATATTGTGCCTAGTTCTGGGAATCCCACATTAAAAAGGATTTTGAAAAATTGGAAGAAGTTCACAGAAATGCAATGAAAATGACTAAGAAACTAACTCCCCAGAAGAAGATTAAAGACATTGGAAATATTTAGCCTTGAGGATGCTGAAGAATACTTTCATATCTATTCTTCTACCACAGAAGACAGTCAACAACCGAATCCATTGAAGGGAGACGTTAAAACAGACAAGATATGATGCTATTTTTGACACACAGATTGATATGTGTGCATACATATATCCTTCCATTATTCCAGAATGTATGACATGGGATTACAGGTTTAAATTACAGGAAAGCAAATTCTGACTAAACATTAGGAGAGAAAGAAATGCCTAGTTAGGTCCAACGGATGGTAGAGAACACTTCAATTTGAATTCCTGTGTTGATTACAGAGTTGGATTTGATGTCCTAAAGAGTCCTTTCCAATTATATGATTCTATTCATGTGAGAAGCTGGTAGACTTATCCAATTTTAATTATAAATGTTTTAAAACCAAGTGATTTATTTTTAGTTTAATTGAACTGCACACAGCTTTGCAATTGTTAAAAGGAGTAAAAAGTTGTTATTTACAAATAAATAACAAATCAAGTGTGGGAAGAAAAAAGACATCCTGTATATTAGAAAATTCCACTCCCTTTCTTGTCTCCACACTTCATGTTAGGTCAAACTAATCTCTTATGAATTTAAAAAAAACATGAAACCAGCTTTGTATTTTTGCTTCCTTAAGCAGTTTGAAACTGATCTGTGATTGTATCCAGTTCTCCAGACCACAAAACTCTGAAATGTTTAAAAACAATATATTTCTTATGTCTATATTTCTATTGGTATATAGACATTATGTCATTTTCGAGTAACTTGGGACTTCCAGTTGTTTCTATTGTGATACCTTCATATGGTTAACTGGTGAAAATGATAGAAATGCAGACTTTCCTATAATCTATTAAGCAACACAATAAATATTACTTGCCCCAATGCTAGATGTAAAACAGTGAGATAAAATAATATTTCAACTTCTTATAGTTTCTATTTCAAGTTAATTTTCATTATGGATGATTATTATTTTAAAAAAACACAGAACACCCCTGCAATTATTTTCATTTAAAATAATAAAAATTTCATTGATATTTTCTTAAGACAATGAATAGAATAGTTATTTAATACAAGACTGGTTTGCTTTTCAAAAATAGGTAGCTTGTTTTTTTTTTCTGTTCAAATTGGATGAAATCTCTGATCAAATAATGAACACCGTTAAAGCAGGTATTCTCAACAATCTTAAAGCACAGAATAAGCAAGATATTCCTTATTTTGACACTGGCAGTGAAATAAGCAATGAGAAAAGTTTAGAGCTGCAATATTGACCATTTTCAATGCCAATTTGAGACTCTATTGAAATAAGAAAATAATACCAAGAGTGAAAGAGAGGAACTAGAATAATTCAGGGTCACCTCCCCCCCTTATAATTATGGATTACAATAAAATAAAAAGCTAAAACAAAAATCTATGCTTTCTTCCTATAAATAACATCGATAGACCTCAAAAATGAACTGGGATGGACAATAGTCATTGGGATAGAACATAAGGATCTTTGATGTTCTGAAACCTCTACCATACTGTAAACATATCCAACATTTTGATCTTCTGCAAATCAAAGCATTTGAAAATGTGACTTACTGCAACAGATCTATGCAAAGTAGAGATACTTTACCTTGACAAGGCCTACTATAGGAATAATCCAAACCGTATTGCTAAAGCATTATATGCATCGGAGACAGCATCCTTCTTCAACCGTTTCAGCTATTAAAAGTGTTGAGTGATACAATGTAAAGCACTTTCACTATGTAAAAGGGGGAAGGTTACATTATGTAGTACAGAAATTTTGAAGGCATACTTCAAAGCAAACCAAAACTCTAAATCGGGGTCCCCAACCACCGGTCCCCAGACCGGTACCGGTCTGTGGAACAATTTCTACCGGGCCGCCGGTTTGCTGGGCGCCGCCATCTTGTTTTGATGAAAAAGTGCTTCCGGTGAGCTTTTCCGGGTAGAAAGTGGCGTTTGGGTGCTGAAAGAATCCTCGCGCCTTAGTTTCATCGAGGGGGTGGTGGCTTCAAACAAAACTAAGGTGTGAGGATTCTTTCAGCACACATGGCAAGGTGAGCCGAGTGACCGTCCCGAAGCCGTCGCGAAGCCCATCGACACAGGTACAAAGGAGGAGTTGAAAGTGGCGGGGAGAAGCAGGGGACGGCTGGCTGGCCGGTCGCTCGGCTCGCCTTGCTATGCGTGCTGATGCCGGTACCGGGCCGTGGATGATTTTATGATGCCGGTACCGGGCCGCGGCACAAAAAAGGTTGGGGACCACTGCTCTAGATGATATGCACAGCTCCACTGACCAATCTGTAGACTGAAAACATTATCCCATGTGTGTACTTTCCTGCTTTATCTTGCATTTACTCCCATTTCTGCGCATTTCCAAGCAAAGTGCCCAAAGGATTAGCATTCTCAAAATTCACATGTAGACTCTTTCATACTTTCCCCTTCTCACCTCATTCCTTGCCTGTTGGACTTGTTTCTCCAGTTCCTCAGGAATCATCTTACCTCTATAGGACACAGATGTAAAACTTTTCAGTTATGTTCAACAGGTAATTGTTTACAGTAATACTGCATGGTAAAATGGATTTAATCAATTCAATGTGAAGAATCCTTACCTGTCATCACTTTTGACAAAGTAAACATTTTGTGTGCCAATTCCCAAAAAGGAAGCTGCCTTCTTCACTGAGTAGTGACACTATGTAAAAAAGCAAGATATGTGAAAAATAGTTTTGTTGAATGAAAATCCTCTTTATTATCTTTCCATCTATTCTATTTCCTTCTATTTCTCTTTCATAACTTTAATCAGATTAGGTGACAGATATTAAAGCAGTCCATTGTTGACTTTAGTAAGTCTTCTACTGACTACATATATTATATCATTGTCATTGATAAGGTATTCTGGGTTCATGACAAATTCATGGATTCATGAAAATGTTTGTAGAAACATTTTCAATTAGAAATATCACATTGGATTTTATTTGAATTTAGTCTTATTTCAAACAGAACTATCAAAATCAAAGTAATTTGAAAAGACAAACTAGTCAGTACCAGCTGAATTAAAACTAAGTGGGCTGAAATAACTAAAATATTGAAGTCAATAATTTTAGAAAACACATTCAAGGGGGTAAATTAGGAAATGAATTCAATAGTTTGGTAATTAATAAAATCTTAAGCAGATCTAATTCTGCACTTGAACTGGAATAGTGTCTCTGGTGAGGACATAATTTAAATAACTTAATCCATTTTTCCTTTTTTTTTTCAGTCAGCAAATTAGCTATGCTGATCATACTTTCTTGAGAAAATATTTCCTGATGAAGGAGTACATGTACTCCATATCTGAAACTGAGGTAACAAAAACATTAATCAGCTATGCCTCAAAAAAGCTTGGAATAATTTTAAATATATTTTCTACAAGTCAATAAAAAAACCTGGCAAGGGATCCTGTTCCAGAGGTAGTATTCAACAGGTTCTGACCAGTTCTGCAAATTGGTAGTGGGAGTTTTGAGTAGTTCAGAGAACCGGCAAATACCACCTCTGACTGGAGATTTTACAGTATCCTTCCCCTGCCACATCCACCAAGCCACACCCAAAGAAATGGTAGTAAAAAAATTTGAATCCCACCACTGTCCTGTTCACAGACATATTAAAGAAACAGGATGTGTTAAGTCTCATGAGAAAGCTAAGACTATATGTAATAGTTAATGAAAGACTTATCATGAAACATTAGGAAGTTTTTCAAATCAAATCAAATAATCTTTATTTCTTCCTGCTCATGATCATCTACCAGACTCAAAATCTTTCTTATCATTTCAAAGTGATACTCCTGATTCTGAAAAATAGTTATTATAATATGATCACAAGAACTTATTGGCCAAAACTTCTATGTTTTTTTTCTTCATTTTTTAATCGCTGGGATATAAAATTTCCCCTTTGTCATGAAAACATGCACACATATTTTATATAAAACAAGAATAGCATGTAAAGACTTTCCTCAGAATATGGAATTTATCATCTGTACAGTATTTTAAAAGCAGAAATACTCAAAAATGAGTGGGCCCTTTTCCTCACAGGCATTCAGAATAAAAGCAAGAAACGTCCAAATGGTCCAGAAGCTTAATCATATTGTTGACCTCTGCACCTTCATGCTCTATCACTATATGTGCTTCATCAAAAATGACTACCAAACAAAATGATTCTTTGTTTTACATTGGTTCTCATATTTAACAACTATAAAAGCTTAGGTCAATCTATGTTGCATTCCTTGGAAAAGTTGGATTCAATTTCAAAACAACTAGAAAAATAGTACACCTGAAATGCCCTATACCTACAACTTTCACATTAATAAAGTAGTGCACAAAAGTTGCACGTTCATGGGTATTTTTAATTATTGACTTGACTCAGTGATGAATCCCAAAAAATCTGCAGAGGTTCACAGAGTTCCCAAATGATCTCTAAAGTCTATGAGATTTGAGATCTTTTCAATAGAACAATAAATCTGACTCTTTAAAAGCAGAGGAAATAGAGCAAATCTTTAGTGTTATTTAAGAGTTAATATATTTGCCAACAATGGTGAACAAAGTCTTAAATTGTTTCTTTACATATAGTAAGTAAAGCCAGGTGGTTAATTAATTCAGTTTTCCTCCAGAGAATTCACACAAATGTAATTATAAATGAACATAATTATGAAAAATCTGCAGCACTTCAATATGTGGCATGAATATATTAAAGTTATTCAGTGTGTCTCATTTTTTAAATGAGAATCAACTCATGATAGTTCCTCTTTTTTGCACAAGGAAGTCTTTTTTCCCTTATTTTTAATGAAGTGCATAAATATAGCATCAGCTACCATCAATCAGTCATTTCTAATATGACACTTTCCGAAAACCTGTGGAATTTATTAATTTGTGCTGCTTTCTGAATAACATACATAGGTAAATAAATAATCTTCTGTTACTGAATTACATCAATAATGAAATAAGCCTGGGTGGTGCTTCCATCGGTAATGGACTGAGACCATGATTGTGTGTGGCTTTGATCCATATTTGTCCTGTTGGAGGGGTCCCAAACAGAACAGGATCCATCTCAGAGGGATGGGGAAAGAGGAGGAGACCACCAGCTGGGTCGAGGGGAGCCACATCTCCCCTTCCTGACTAGGTATACTCCCCTCAAAGACAGGAGTAAGTGGCTGTCTTTAATGGCTGCCCTGAAGACGGGAAGCTATCTGGGAATTAAGTTTGTGCTAGTGTCAGATATACGTATCTGTCATTTCTTCAATGAAAGAAGAAAAGGGAGGGGGAGACTGATAAAGAAATCCTTGATGTAACCTGAATATATTTAATCTTATATTGAATTTGTATAACCTACACATGATACAATGGAGGGATGAAACCCAGATGGCCAGAACCTATCACCTCTGAGAGAGACAGCCAGGAGATGAAGAGACCATAAAAATTCCACAGTGAGATGTGTCCTGGGAAACTCTGGAAAAGATAGTTCTAAAAAGGGGGTGGGGGAATTAGGTATGCCATGGGAAATTCTGAAAAAGATTGTTCTAAAAAGGGGGTGGGGGGGAATTAACATGTTGGCTCTTTGTTTTACTAAATACACATCAAGATAAGGGGATGGGTTTTAAACTCCCTTATCTATCTCTGCATACCTGAGAGACCTTAGATGCTGCTTTTAACCCCTACATGAATTGTCTCATCTCAATAAAGGATTCCTTTTGATACGTTTTGGTAAGTTTTCAGAAGTTCCTTCTAGTTGATTGATTGGGAAACGTTCTGTAGCCTGACAGCTGGAGCTGTGAAGAAGTGGACAGCAAGGAAACCATGCATAATTTATGGACATAAAGATACCCCAGAATTAAGGTGTAAAGAATTTTTCTAAAAGGATTACAAAGTGGCGATCAGAGAGAGAGAAAAGCAAGGTGGAAATAAATAAAAAGGGATTTGAATTTTGACAGGAGCTAAATTGAAGGAGGAAGCTGGAAGAAAATTTGGACAAACATATGATTCTGGCACTAAATAGGCATAATTAAACATTGAACTTGAATGTGCCTAAAGGAAATGATTAATAATTTGGACTTATTGAATTTTTGAAACTTAAAAGCCTCAAATAAATGTTGGAAAAGTGGAAAGAAAGGGTGGAATTTGGATGTAACAGAGAGTGCCACCTAATGGTAAAGGAAAATTGCAGTGACTTTTTAAAAAAAGTGCCTGGTTCTTTCAAAATTGAAACTTGATACAAAACAAGAGGAACTTTGTTACAATAAAATTGAAACCCTGAAAAATGACAACATAGAATATTAAGATAAAAGAAAGAAGCGTGAAGAAATTACTCTGGGACTGCTTGGTGATTTTGACATAAATTTAAACTTATGGATGTTGGACTATTTGATGATTTTGGAAAAAACTTAAAAGAGGAATTAATAGAAGTTGATCATTGGAAATGAACATCAAAGATGCTGGTCGAATTAAAATACTGGACAATTGGTTTGGACTTAAATATAAAGAAAGGGATAAAGAAAATATAAAAGAAGTGTCTAAAAATGGCAAAACTAAAAATGGAATTAAGAAATATAAAGGAAATGTTACATGAAAGAAATGAATCGTGCTATATTGCCTTACAATTAATAGAAATGGCGATTCTGGAGAACAAAGAACAACAAGGAGTGCCAGAAGGGGAGGAGCTGATCAAAGAACAAGCCAGCTTCAATGAACAAATGGAGCAATGAACATTAAAACAAAGGGAAAAAAGAATGGGAATTAAAACTTGGAGGTTTGAGGAGGTAATTAAAAAGAGAAATGTCTTGAAAGCCAAACAAAGAAAAAGGAAACTGCAGAAAAGGGAATTACAGAAGAAAGTTTTAAAGAGGGAGTGGGTTAAAAATTGGAATAAGAAAAGGAAGGAAAAAATGAAGGGGAGAAGAGGTAATAAGAGAAAGAAACACAAAACAAGGAGATATGGAAACCAAACAAAAACAATAAGAAATTGTTTAGTCAGGACACATAGAGACAATGGATAGATAAAGAATAAAGAAAAGACATTCTGCAATGTGTTGTAATACATAAGAATATAGTTTTTAAAAGTTAATGAAACTGATATATTTTGTTCTAATTGGCTTCTTTTTTAAGGAATATTGTTAATTTATATATGGATATAACAAATAAATGTGAAGCTATGATAAGAAGATGAATTATATTTAATAAAACTAATACAGTTAAAATGAATTATGAGGATCCCAGTGAAAAGACTAATATCAGTTTCTATAACTAATTGAATAGATCAATATATTTGAAATAATTAATGATTTAAAAAGTAAATGAGAGAAAAGAATACCATGCAAAATCTTGCTTAATATACATATATGCATATAGTAGTTAGGAGATTTTTGTTATTAGACTAGAATGTGATAATTATATAGTGATTATATTATGATAAACTTTGATTATGGATTAAAGGGGAATAAATTGAGGGATGTATAAGATAAAAGGGTGGCTTGGTGGGCATGGCAGGGGAAGGATACTGTAAAAACTCCATTCTCACCCCACTCCAGGGAAGATACTGCAAAATCCTCATTCCCTCCCCACCCCACTAACCTGCTTTCAAGCTCCATTCTCCTGTGCAGGACAACAAAAGAAGACCCGGCCAAGCAGCTAGGACTTGGGAGACAGAGAATAGATAGGGGTGGGGCCG